TTTTTTTTTTAGGGAGGTAGCCTATAATACAAGCTATCGTCCGGTACCCACAAATACATCATACTCCTCTTCATGCCCGAGAACGAGCTGTTGGCGCGAGGGGTGGCTTAAGCGTTCGTTAATTGGCCGGTTTACTCAACAGCGTGCAGTACCTACTGCTGTCTGAAGTGGTGTCTGTACAATAACAACACCATATGGTGCATGGTACACAAGCTCGGGGCATGCAGCTGCTGTCTAAAGTGCTGTCAGAATGAGTCCGTGGACATACAATGAAGACGAACGCCCAACCAAAGCCATCATTGCAATTGACAATCACCCGCATTTATCCAGATCATCTGTGTTAGGCACAGCAGTGTAAACATCGACACTGACTAGGAATCGTTCCACATTGAAGGGGTCTTCCACGATGCAGGTACACAACTAAAAGCACCCGGGTTATCCGCGCCATCTCTGCGCGTCTCTCTACAACACCAGTGACGTCTTCACATTAACCCAACCCCTGTATTCAGGGAAACAACGGAAAAATAATTGACAACACACGAGATGTTTGTCCGTGCCCCACGGTTCGATGCCGTCCGCCCGCTCCGGTTCCGCTGCTCCGGTGCCGCTACTCCGGTGCCGCTGCTCCGGTGCCGCTGCTCCGGTGCCGCTGCTCCGGTGCCGCTGCTCCGGTACCGCTGTGGCCAGTCCTAGCACGACCAAACTCGACCCGCTCCGCTTCGTACACGCTCTCGTTGCTGTCCATCCCAGTCGGTTCCTCGCTTTCTCCCTCGTTGCACTTGGGGTTCTTGGTCGAAAAATTCTCGCGCCGAAGGGTCAACCAGCCCAAATCAGCTCGTCACCACCTATCCCCTCCTCCTTTGATGGCAAAACCAGGTTACTGAGACAGCACAACTCCCTCTAGTAAACCTAGGACCGTGTACATAGTGCCCGTCCACCTTTCTGATAACGTCTGCCTCCGCGCACAAGGATGAGATGGGCATTGCTGCCTCTACACCGACGGCCTGGAAGCCCGCGCATCTATCTATCTGCACTTACTTTGTACCTGACGCACCAGTGCCGACCCAACTCCACCGCTATGCACGCCTCGCGGCGGGTGCACCGCAGCAAGATGGTATCGGTCCCTTGAGGGTGCGTCTAGCCCTGCTCGCTAGAAAGACCCCCCCTCTCGCTATGGGTCATGCCTACGCAAAACCTTGCTGAGGCAGCCAGGGGGAGAAAAAGTCTAACTAGTGGGCCCTGGATATAGACTAGTGCCGGGTGGCGGTATCCACGTACAGCAGTACCGGTGTTTCGGCTCGTACATACTGAAAGACCAAGTCGTTCGATACTCTGAATAGTGTCAAGTCGTTCGGTACTCTGAATAGTGTCGGTACCTGGTGTTATTGTGCTGGTAAAATCTCTGGACACCTACCGGCACTAGACTAGAGTCTACGGGCCGACTGCTGCTGTATTGGATGGAGTCTTTGGGATGCCGCGCCAGGCATGACAGCCAGTTTTCCAGCTGCGCATGTCGTGCGCCCTCTTGACGGTCACCATGTGGATTGATTGCAATGCAAACACACTCAAGGCTTGCTTGCATATCGAAGTGTTCACTCAAGATGCGAGGGTGCTCTTCAGGGATCTAGACTATGCATAACGGCAAGATTCGCGAGCGGTGTGACGTAGACTAATATGTGATGTAGACTACAACTACAACTACACTCCCGGAATGTATTTTTTTTTTACTCCCGACATGAATGTGCCTTTTCGGATATGCGGGGTAATTTCCGGATTGATTGGTTTTTCGTTCGCATCTAGATATTGCATTGAACTACAGTATTGAAATACTAGATATTGCATTGAATACTTTTCCTACATATGTACAAGTCCCACCGCGCCATCTGCCGTCTACCAAGTGTACACCAGAGTAGGTGGTACCTAGACTATGCTTGATAGATTCGCAGCTAACGACTGCAGGTGTCGAGCTCTAAATCGCCTGCTTTGACATGCCGCTTCTCCCAAAACACTAGAACTACATGTGCATCTGTGTACGGAGCAGAAGCATCAACTCTTCTGGAGCCAGCAGCAAGCCAAGCCCGATAATTCTGCAAGGCATCATCACCATCATGCAGATCATGTGTATTCTTTGGTATCAAGAGGCAACATTCAACACACGCTGTGGATCTCAGCGTCATGTGTGTTATCGCCTTGCAATTTTGCGCAGGTCAGCCACAGGTAGAACCCCGTCGTTGCTGTATCAAGGAGCATGCAATCATGTTGCTATGTGCGCACCTCCTATAAATTAGAGAGAAACATATCAAATTAACAGAATGGCGCGTCTCCAGATACCCCGAATCAGTTGTCGTCTCTCGTGTGTTGGCGATTATTTACCCACGTGCGCGCAGGTGCTTTCTTGTGGATGGAGCTGAGGTGAAGAGTGAAGCACGCATTCGTTCGACCTAAAAAGAAGAGGCAGGCCCAGCACTCGCAACGATTTCCGCCCCATTTCCGTGATTCCCAGCTCATCTCCGCGCTCATTTGGCCCTCTAATTATCCGCCTGGTACCAGTAGCCGCCGAGACTGTCTCTCAAGAACCAAGAACCGCCAGTTTGCCCACAAGATACTGTAGCCCATTCCCCCGTCGCCCCCCACAGCGGCGACATGCACCAAGCAACAACGATGATGTGGCATGGCGTCCAAGGTGAGTTTTTGGATGTGGTCCACGCATCCCTTGGATACGACCGCGGTAGGTCATAGATGCTTCCTTCTTTCGGTGGCTGGCGTGACGCTCATCGCCGTTTTTCGAGTACAAATATTACACCTTGATGGATGACACGGAGCATCATTTGGAACGTGTGCGTGCGACTGGAGGGTATCAGTGACGCTAGATGGAGACAGAGACGGGACGTATGAGTTCGATCCGATATGCATGAAAGGCTGGAACAAGAACACTCATACGCATACGAGGTAGACGCTCTAACGTTCGAAAGGACCTCTTGGTGAAATAGCCTCGTGAACTGGGGCAGACGGCTGCTGTGACCCTTTGGAATCAATCATGAACCATTGGACGCATCACGCATCTATCGATGCGTACCTCCGGCAAGCACACAGGTACAGCTTCAAACGCCCTGGAGCGCCGCCAGGGCTGCACCTCTCGTGGGCGGGACACTCCCAGTCCGTCGCCGGAATGTAGCGCCGAAGGAAGGAGCTCTCTCGTGCCGACAGTAACCGATGCAACTGGGTGGATGTTCGCCGATTGATTGCCCCAGAGAAATTTTCCCCACCGGGCAATAAAACCAACAAGAGCAAAACACACACGCACGCGCCCGCCAGCAGGAGCCTGTCTTACTCAACTACAGTCAAAATGCAAAGTGACGGCCGTGACGTTTTACAACCCACAGGAGAGCCGTCATACGTGCGGGTGGACCCCCTTCCTCCCTCTCCCCGAGGTGGAGCTCTAGGCAGCAGCGATACGACGCCCATGGCGATGCAAGCGGGATGGCCGACGGCCGGTGTGACCTCTGGGACAGAGCTCGGGGGCCTGCGGGAATCCAACTTCATATCTTGCTTCATCTCCAACTTTATTCCCATGTAAGCTAACCCACACGCGCACACGAGCACGGCACCGAAAGAACAAGCTACGTTTTTTTTTTTTCCGATTGACCGCTTTCGTAAGTATTTATACATTTTGCTCGCCATGGTTTCGTTTTCAGCGCGCTTCTTCTCCTCCTGGCGTGGCATGATCGTTACACAACGGATGGCGCTCTCTCCGCGGTGTGCGGGGACTTTTGTGTGGTGCGGCGACTTTTGGATACGGCAGATTCAAATGCCTACACGAATTTTTCATGGTGCCCCTGTGCCCTACCTCTCTTCCACCCTGCTGATATGTATCTTGAGATGAAAGTCATCAAATTTCCCCGCGTGGGGAGCGGGTTTCATTTAGTGAGTCAGTGTTATCACATGAGGCGTGTAGGGTAGTAGTCTAGGTAGCCAAGAGCGTTTTGACCTCAATCATGTTGGCGTGATTGAACCCATGCTAGGGGGGCTAGGGCAGGAGAGCCGTGTGGTTGTTGTTGTTGTTGTTTCTCACATTAGCTCCGTAGTCCCGAAAAAATGGGGAGCCCGTGGTCTCAAAACCCGGCACATACGACGCCGCGGAGAAACAAAACAAAAATAGGGTACAAACCACTCGGAACAGCGAAACAAAATGAAAGAAAGAAAAGGACAGCTACCGCACCGACCGTTCGAGAAAAGAGCCCTCGGAAACCGATCAAAACAAACAAAACAAAAACAAAGGAGGACGCGTCCCACACCCGCCCAAAGAACAAATCAAAGGGTAACGTACCAGCACCAGGCACTACGCACCAGGGCATGGGAGTAACGGAGCAAACAGGACAAAGAGGCGGCAGATGGGCAGACAGCCAGATGTACAAAAACAAAAGCAACAGCAAAAGCGAGATCAAGGTACCCAACACAGCAGAGTAGGCAGGGAGGGCATGAAAAAAAGAAACACAGCACAGAGGCCGAAGGCATTACAAAGGACATACATAAAGGAGTATAGCATACAGCAGGGAGGGAAACAGGGCGCAACAACATCAGCCGGGTACATAGTTCGCCACAAGTGCTGCCTCGGCCGCCCTACTCGCAGCAGTGCCCGGTCGCCGTTTCTTCCCCCCCCATCGCCGCTTCCCCGACTCTCTTTCTCTTCCGTCCTGAGGCCGTACTCTCTGCTTCTTTTGCTTCCCTCGCGCGCTGGCGCTTCGCGGACGCTTCCGCCTCCTGCCTGTGCCATTTCCTCATGAGTCATGCCACCCCGTCCTCGACCTTGTTGTACCACACCTCCGGGTCGTTGGCGCTCTCTTTCAATTTACCCCCTTCCTTTTCGTCTCCCATGTTAAAGGTCACGAGGTCCTCTCCTAGACGAGACACCCAGTCGCTCTCCTGCCCGCCCCGGCATCCCACGCCCCCCGCCGTCGCTCCTAACAGCATGCGCTTGGGGAGGCGGCTGTCCTTCATGCGCATAACAAATCCCGCCAAATACAGTCTCCGTTTGCTCACGGTGGCCTCGATGGTTTCCTCGCAGCCTGCCTGGATAAGGGACTGGGCATAGGACAGGGGGCGGTCTGAGCGTTTCCGCTTGCTCCTGTGTGTGTGTGCCCCGTGATCACGTGCAACATCGTGTCGAAGTCTAGACTGAACTTTGAGCCGAAAAGCTGTCGTACACTAGGATCCATAGATACACAGGTGCATTTTATTTTATTGTTTTTCTTTCGAATTGCCTTTTTGCATTAATGTTTTCTCTTCACACGCGGGGAAGAGAGAGAAACCACGCCGACAGAACACGATTCCTGTAGACGCCCTCTGCGCCTGTCCTACCGTGTCTCTGTCCATTCATTCTACTGTCTCTCTCTCTTCCCAAAGAAAACAGCCCGGGGTTTCTCATTCCACCGGTGTGGGGAACTCTTCCTACTGTACGGAACATCTCAGACGACCAAGTTCCCAAATGGTACTCTACCATTTACTCTACCCGTTGCATTCCTTCCGTTCCCTCACCTTCGAAAGAAAAAGGGTGGGTGGGCGGGAAAGAACGCAACTTCTTGGCCTCCCAATCTGGCCAATCCTTGCTATCCCTCTCTGAGTTCACGTACTGCTGTTGTATAAATCTGCTATTCCACGCTGTCCAGCGAGCCTTCTCCTGCACGTGAACTCTCCGATAAAGTGACCATCCCAAAAGGACTCTTCTCAACCTGATACCCCGAAATACAGGAACAATAACGCCTCTGGCAAATTCGACCGTTTCAATAAACAGTAGTCTACATCGGCTATATCTGCCTCACCAAACTTGCTATTTATTTTTCGTCTTCACTTCAAATCAGCGCTCACAGCACTGGTGCCGTTTACTCCAACCCGTGGTCACACAGAAGACCCCTCTCTACCCTCCCCTCCTGCGGTACTTTGCCTTCGATTTTAAACGCGACAAGGGGTCAGCACTCTCTTCCCTCTGTGTACACACGAACTAGCGCTATCCACTAGGCCAGGAACGGAAGCGAGAGAATAACTCCATTGAAAGAAATGCTCGCTTCCGCCGGGATTCGAACCCCTGGCCTGACCTCTAGAAGGTTTAGAGGATACAAACTAGACCACCGGGGCGATGGCATGCAATGATTGATGTACATAGACTTCTCGAAGACTCTTTCTACTTCGCCGAATCTATTTCCGACATAGGTCGACCGCTAGACTTTGGTATGAGAGCTTGACTAAAGTCATGTAGTCTACAGTAATACGCGGAGGTGCATGAACACAAGCCTCCCCGAGCTTGCGTTCGTTGCGCCACAACGTGGGGCGAAAACGTCATGTGGACAGACTAGGGGCGGGTGTTTTTTTTCTGCCCTGATACCGAGCACAACGAAGCACCGGTTCTTCATGTTCTTGATAGTTGAACATCTTGAGGGCCAATCAACTTGGTGCCGCTGGGTATAGCAAGCACACCTTAACCTCTGTGCCACTCGGCTAGCTTTGGCTTGTGGCACGAAATTGCTTTGGTACCAGCAAGAGATAGAGGCATGGGGTTCGAGTCCCAATCTCCGTCATGAGCGCGTCATCCCCGAAGCCTTATGTCTAAATCCTGAAGTAATGCCTGTGGCTGACATGGGTGTTGATTCAACGAGGGGTGGACGGCATACCGAGTCCCCCAAAAGCAAGGCCGAGCTTAGCCTTGCGTTCTACCCCATGAACTTCTCGGAACATTTCTCGGCACCTTCGCTGGCGCCGGGGAGGAGTGCGAGGCCCGGGGGATCTGTCTCTGCTCATGCCGGCGATGAGACTTGAACCCCAACGATTCTGTATCTTTCGCGAACACAGCAGCCGCAGTCTCTCGACGTTACCGTATATATACTCAATCGGTTCAGATGAATAAGTGGCTCGGGGGCAGGGCGCGCTGACAGAGTAGCACAGAGCTACAACCGTGCCTTGTTGATAACAGCAAATCTTCTTTCGGGACATTCTTAACATCGCACATGTTGCTCCAAATTTCACACGACGACCGTTTTCCGCGGTCTCGTGCGTACGGGACCTGGAATATGGGGATGCGTGGTTGTTGGTATTGTTGTTGTTGTTGTTGTTGATGATGATGTTGTTTTCTTCGCATTAAAGTCGTGCCAGTTGCTAATCCCAAAATCTAGCAAAGATTCGGTCCTTGCGTGTCTTTGTTATAACAACATCGACCGCGCTAACCGGCCGACCAATGAGTAGGCGTCAGTCTCAGTGCGGTTGAAACAGAAAAATAACTTCTTTTAACGCCATAAGCTGGGATCCCGTGAGGGGGCGTCATGGGGGAGGCAAAGCTACTCTCCAGATCAGACATAAGCGGTAGCAGCAGAAGAAAACTGCTCGTGTGTGTGTTCGTCCCATCTATTCTGGCGCCGGTTTGCAGGCCTTTCGACGTGTATACCTGACGTATCAGCCGGGGTCACACAACAAGAGGAAGGTCTCATTGGGGCTTTTTTCATGTTTTTGTTATCTTGCCCTACCCCCTGCTGTGCTTGCCTTACGTTTTATCGCGAGAAGGGTTCAACCATCCCTTTCCCTAGTCGATCGACCGTGAAGCCGAAGCGTGTTTACGCACGATCTAGATCGCTTTCGACTTCTTTGGAGTGCTGAAAATACACCCCGGGAAGAAAAGCCCCGGAGGATAATCGAACCCACAACCTGCAGCCAGGGAGTCGTGCAGTCGTGTACTAAAATCTGCTACACTTCAGAGTTTGGTGTCTGTTGTGCGTACAGGACCTGGTTTGTGCACAGCAGTTTACGGAATAGGCAAAACCACAAACCAACGCCATCGTGCCCGCCCATGTTTTCACCCACCCTCGCCGTAAACCAAAAGGTCTGCGAGAATAATGTACATTATAGCCCCACGGCTGATCCTCGCTCTCAGCATGAGAAGAGTATTTCGCCCCAACAACTTTGGGAGCTAGCTGGCCAGTGATTTGTCCCGTCGTCCGATCCTCCTACGGAGCTATCATCGCTGCCTTTTGAGAGACGCTGTTCGAGGGCGGCATATATCGTCCATATTGTTTTTCCGGTCTGGCAGATCGAAGAGATAAGAGGAGGTAAGCAAAAACTTGGCGCTTAACTTCCTCGGTGTGTTATTCTTGTCCGTTTCCCTCGCAAGGTGCCCAGCGTCCGATGACAGCTCGATCAGAGAGGGGATCATGTACGCCATGGCGAAGCCGAGCCAGGGCCTCGAAGGGCACGGTGACTTGCGGAGGGGGCAAGCGCTGCAGTGCTCCTTCTACTCGGGCCTCGCGATTGGGGCTATCATGCTGGGTTACCCCTCGGATCAGGTGTCCCGGTACATGGAGTCCGCCCAGCTTTGCAGGGACCAGTGCCGCTACTTCGTGGACCGCTTGGCGGTGTCGGCCCTGGTTCTCTATTCCGTCGCGAGCGTGTTCTTGGGGCAGGCGGCGGCGTATCGCCAGGGCATGGAAGAAGCGCGAGCTCTGTCCAGCCGCTCGCCGGACGTCGACCCGGTCGTATCCTCGTACTTGAGGTTGCAGCGCTTCACGGAGGGCTTGCGATCGCTTACGGCGGATATGCTGGATGGCGACAACCCCATCAACGCCGTGCGGGGACCGGGAGGCGAAGGGTTGGTGATAGAGGTCGAGACGCCGAGAGGGAGGCACGTCTGCGACCTCATCGAGGACGGCCGGAGCAACAATTGTTCGTTCTCACCGACCATGTCCGCCTACCCCAGTCTCGTAGTCTCGGACGGTGAGTCCCGGGAGGCATCAGTCTTTGCTTTTGCTGCTGTGTTCAGTAGAATACTTCTATCTCTGCTCCCGTCCTCTCCGTCTTCGGAGGCACAGTATACCAAAGTCTGCCATTTTTCAACACGAGCCTCTCGGACAATGCGGGGGGGGGGGTACACCCCGTCCCGTCCAGTTCCAAACGCGAAACTGCTTGCTTGTATCGCAGTCCATGATTTGCTCTTCTAATTCCTATTTAGAGCATGGGTCTCCGGAACTCCCGATACCTGGAAAGATGCAAACTAGACGCGCGCTGCATGATGGGTTTGTAGGGAAATTGTCTCTCGGACGACTCGTCAACCTTTTCCCACAGTCAACATTGTCAACACGCAAACAAACGTAGATACAGCAATAGCAGCTGCTCACTCAAACACGGAAGGAGAGGTCGTGCAAACCATGTCGGTTTCACAGAGCTGCATGTGGTTCATGTATGCCCGAGCGAGAATAGTAAGAAACGCTACCAGAACACACGGGGTGGCGGCTGCAGTAGCTGGAGAAGCAGAACGCGCCCTGCATGACGGTTGCTTCTGCACGATAGGGGTGGGAGTTTGATTATGAGCTTCAGAGACGAAAGACCCTCGACAACAGTTCAATCTGCTCCCACCATTACCATAAGCGATCATGTCGAAAACGAAGAAGAAACCTGCTTCGTCGCGCCACATCAAGTGATAGCTGCTCAAACGTCTTGAGACACCCTCCCTCAGCCACACGGAACTGCTGGTTGTTCCACGAGGGTCGCAGTGTGGGCTGAGATCGGCTTTTGAGACCCGATCGGTGAACGGGAGGGCTATGCGAATAAACATATAGCACAAACAGCAGAAAAAACGCTAATTGACTGAGAGCGAGACCCAAGCTCCAACGGACTTTTTTTTTTGTGTTGGAACACCACTACTGTACGAGAGGGTAACGAGCACGGGGATTCCGAAGAATATAGTCAAATTCGGCTGTCACGGGCTCGACCTGCTATAAGAGGGTTACACCCTAATATGAGGAGACCGGCCCCTTTATAGTGGTGCTCCCCACTATAAAGGGGCTAGTCAGTTCGGGACTGCACCCATGTGTGGCTCCCTGGGCCCCTTCACACACGCAAAGACACACACATTGCGGCGCCAACCACACCGGTAGCAGCATACATAACATATGCTATGCGCGGCTGGAGAAATGTGTCGTACCCCAGACGTCACGACTGAAGTCTCCCGATTGTGTGTGTGTGGCGCGGAGGTTGTGGCGGCCGGTCTCACCAACATTCATGATGTGGTAATTAAGTAATGTGCTGTCAGGAGGCAACCCTTCTGACGACGAGCTAGAGCTACTCGACAACCACGACGGCGATGATTGCACTGGGCTGGGGGGAGAGCTGCCCACCGTACGCTGCACTATCTTCATTTTGGCCCGCTGGCGCACAGCACGGGGTTGTTTGGTAATCAAAATGTTGAAGCAGGGTCTTTTTGCGCAAGGCTAAAATGTTGTTCCTTTCACTGCACGTTTCTAAACCACTACGGCAGGCATCAGGGACTCTTCTTAAATGTAGGCCATGCGTGTGCTCATACAGGCCCGCCTCCTTGGCACGACAACAGTAAACTAATCTAAGGTGCGGCAGGTGGAAGTTGTTCTTTCGTGTTGTGCGGCAGTAGCCTGTGTAGAAGGAAATTTTTCATGGTCGGGGAGGTGGTCGAGGCTTTGCAACATGTTGGTTTCGCGCTTTGCTTTCCATTCTCGTCTTGATTCTTGGTGCGTTTGAATGCGTGCATGTAGTTTTCCTCGTGTCAACGGCATGTTTTCTCTGCAGCAAGGTGTCATCACTCCTTAAATCGAACTGAACACCAAAACGAAGCGTTGCAATCATGATCAAAATCAATCGCCTAGCGTTCGCTTGGGTATTCTGATCAGCTCCAGCTACCACTCCACCACATGCCCATGTACAGCCCACCACAAACGCAACATAGTCTACATGTTTTGTATGCGTACATCAATGTATTGTGGCATCCTACTCGGACGATGCAATGTATGTACCCTTGATTCTCGTTATTCCCGATTTTCCCTTTGTAAGAGGGTACCCCACTATACAGAGGACCCCAATAAATGAATATCCCCCTCTTATTATGCCGATATAAGAGGGGGTTCTTATAGAAAAGGGGTGAGGACCGTTGTCACACCACCCTCTTATGACGGAACCACGAGTGCAATAAAATCTCCCTCTCTATGTATCTATGAAGTACGTAGATCGATAGGTGTGGCGATAAGGATACACATGGATCTGGGCATAGGCGATATTGCTCCCATGTAGCGGTGTTCTGCTGCTTATCCATAGGACGAAACTCCGGCGAGAGGCCGGAGGATCTGATTGGCCTTGTTGTCCGCAGGGAGGCACACGAGGTAATCATGCCGCATGTATGCGTACTTCATGATGGCCGTTGCCCAGACGGTAGCCGTTACACGGACGGTAGACAGGAAGAAGCACAGAAGCGGCCACCCATTCATCCGCCACTCGCTTGTCACCCTTTCGGTGCTTGAACTGCAGCATGTAGAGCAAAGCCCAGAGCCATGTCAAAAACAGCGGTGGTCTGGTGCTGTTCGTTTTCTGAAGGTCAGGCCAGCCCCAGATCACAAACACCACCATGGCATAGGCATGACGACGGCGTATGAGTGCGACAAAGAGGGTCGCAGGCACTACCACTACTGTGACGAACGTAGTATATGGCGTGCAACCATCAAAGGTACGTAGTCCTGTAGGCGCCAACGAACTGCTGCGCGCTGCGCGCATTGCACATCGCGCCCGTTCTGGACGTTACTGGGTTATGCTGGACGCTGATTTGCGGAGCCGAGTACAGTTCTGGCGACTTCCCCGACAAAATGAGTGTAGGCGTATTCGCGTTGGTGTTCGAAGGTCCTCTCGAGTGGTAACCGTTGGCAAGAGTGCTCATCTCGCTTGTTCAATGGCATCTCAATTTGCCGAGGCAAACCATGAACCTGCAAGACTACCTGTGAAACACCAAGACCAGCAATGAAACTAGAGTACGTCGTTGTTTGCAAGTGTGCGAGCTTGTTAGCGTTTTAGGCCCTGTGGGGGCGTTGTGCCGGGGAGACTTTTGGAGATCGACCCGCAGTTACAACATTTTCCCAAAACTACTACTTCGAAGTATCGTATGAGGTATTGCAGTATTACTTGTGTGCAATCTCAGTATTTCGCTTGTTTCCCTATGATCACGCAAAGCTAACTGGTCTTACCAAGCAGCCTGCCTGTTACCTATGTAGCGAATCGTACCAACATCAGCGTACTGTAACCGCTGTCTACCGCTGGATACGAGTATGTCTTTTGTGGTTGCTCTTGTCAACGATGCGGACGGTGCGTATCGACGACGATTTTTTCATGGAAGAAAGCGGCGAGCAAAAGAATGACAGCCATCTGTAAGTCCACTCAATCTGATGTAGAGAGCACAGATTTTCTTCTCAGAGCCTCCATTTCGCAACAATAACCCTTGCATAAGACCGCTCAAGGGTTGTCTCTTTTTGTTGCCCTTTTTTCCGAGAAAGGGCAGACAAAAAACGTACATGCTCGAAGTACAAAATATGACCCTCTTGTTATCGTGCAATCCGTCCTAAGCTCTGTGCTCTTTTCTTGTGTCGCCCTCGGTTGCCCTTCTCCACCCACCACGCCCCTCTTTTCAGGTCTGTTCCTCACCCTCCGGTACTACACGACCGTCCTTGAGGACGGAACCCCGGCCTTGACGCATGTGCACGGCTACCTGGCTTCGGAGCTCGACCACCTCGTCCTGGCGGGGGCGGGGGCGGTGGTGTTGGTGTTGTTGTCAGGCTTGCTCATGGCGGTGAAAGCACGGCTCTCACGGGCCGCCGGCCTGCTTCCCCTCGCCGAGCTCGCGCTCAACCAGTTCCACGCACTGCCAGGCTTAGCAAGGTGGGTTGCTCGAAACATGGCCCTTGTATCCTTCCTTGTGCAAGGACCCACTACCTGCTGTGACCCCCGACGGTACTGTGCAGTGAAATTTGGAAATGACCACCACAAAGACCTTTTTGGAGTGCACAAATATGTTGAACGCGAACCAAATGCCACCACCGTCGTCGAGTCGTTCATGGCGGCCAGAGGTCTCGTACGTTCCCGTATGTATGCTGTGTGAGCGGAAGCAAGGAGAAATGGAGCACGAGGGGCTCCGGCGAATTTCTAGGGTACCCACCTTGGCTGGCCGGGTCCGAATGCGCTACACAACGCACCTCTGGCTGATAATCAGAACGTAGTCTGCCGAAGTACTGTACCTCCGTGCGTTGCTGCTGCTTGCCCCCCTCCGGTACGAACCGTTGTTGCAATTGCAAGTTGTCGCGTGCTCCTCGTGGCTCGACAGTGCAGCACCACCCCAGCCAGAAGACGGAAGTGTACCAGACATGGTCTGTCTCTATACCTCTTGTTCTTCACGCCGCCCTCCCTGTTGGACCAAAAGCGAAACAACGCAGCCACTCAACTGCAAGCGTGCATAGCTCCATCTAGTTTTCTCGCTTTTTCGAACGAACCACAGATGTAAACCTCTCCCTGGCACCCTCACTTGATTTTTTCCAGGTGCGACATCCGGCTGTGTATCTACCCCGCCCTGGCGGTGTTTCGACTGCACGGGAAACGTGAGGAGTATATCTCGCTCTGGCAGATTGCCGGTGCAGCTAGTCAAGATCGCGTGCCCACGTTCGATGAGTGCCGCCCGGGCAATCCGCTGTGCCCGCATGATGTGGTCGCCGCGCATGCTGAAAAGATCCTCGCGTTGGGGGTATAGGGCGGCTTTGCGGCGCTGGATAGACGGTTGCCGCGTCATGGTGTGAGTGCCGAATGAAAGCACGCCATGCATTGAAAGTGAGGTCGATGTGGTGATTGATTGGTGTGAGTGGCAATATGTGTGTTATTTTCAGTGACCAAGCGTGTAAGTGTCGATGTCGAACTTATTGCGCTGGCATCATGGTCGAGGCTCAACGGGGTACGGTAGTCTTGCAAACAGCATGACATAACATGGGCGTCGTGTGACACATTTGCAGCGGAGCAGTGGCGCGCTTTTCCACAGAGCCAAAAACTAAGGGGAACGTCGAATTTGTAGCTGAAGATTGCGAGGCTGGTCGCATTAGAACAAACGATTGTGACGCTGAGGCAAGCACGCCACGGGTAGTAGCTGGTGTGCAATTCAGAATCGTGTAGTTTCAATTCTGACTTTCCCTCGCCACCGTCGACAACAGAACATTCAGATACAGGAGCTTAAGGTTGGATCTACCGCTGAGCTGTGTTGTCAACCCTTTGTTTGGCATATGTTTTTCGGGAAGCGTTTTCCCGCTCTCTATTTGTTTATTTCTGTCCACGGTATACCGTAGATATCGTATATGCTGGAGAGACGGCCACATGGGTCGGAGGAGAGCTCGGAGTAATGCTTTCATCGATGCCGTTTGCCCTTGTCGTGTCTATTTTAATCCGCACAAAAGTTCTTGTTGGAATCGGAGATGATGGTCACACACACGAAAATATGTGCGGTGAATAAAGGAGAACCTCACGTTTTCGGAGTATAAATGAGCTTGGTTTCGGGGGCGCCTTGCGTGGTTGGGTCTAGGTAGCGTACACGAATTGTTGTTGTTTTATGTGCCGTCGTTTCGGCGACGAGGGAAAATGTGGCATCCGTTCGTTTGTATTGAGTTGGCGTGTACAATAAATAGTACTTCGTACACATGTCTACGGAACGGGTCCGCAATCACCGAAAGTCAATTTCGGGTAGACGCTCAAGTTATTACTTTTGCCGCCCGCCACCGTTGTCGAGCACATGTAGCTTTTTTATAGAGAGTTTAGCGTGGGTTCCACAGGTGAGCTAGCTGTGGTTCTTAATCGTCTCTTCTCATTTATCGTAGAGATCTAGCCGCCGTTGTTTATTAGGGCCATGCTTCCTACGGTAGCTGCGGGGACCTTCTGTAAGGAAGGATGGACCATTTGATTGTGAAGCATTTGTGTTGTATGCAGTGAAACCCGAAAAAATGCGCAAGAACGAGGTGTGAGTGAAGACAGGTGAAAACGATTGAAATTTGTGCAGTTTCATTTTTTTTTGGTGTTTTGACGTGATACTGTCCCTGTCGCTGACGATGATGATGGTGGAAGATGAGGTTGGTCCCTACCGCGTAGCATCTGCCACTAAATGCTGTAATACGAGTCAGTTTATGGCAGCCCCACGGGCCCGGCACCCCAGTGAACGTGCGGAGCGGACAGCTGTCCATTCTCGTACATGTAGGTGTTCCAAACAGGCATCTTGTGACTAGTAGTAACGCTCACGATGTTCGTCGGCTTCCTTTCAATCTGGAATCTTGCTTCGTTCCTTTGGTGAAAAAGGTCGAGGGCTTGTCATACAACCAGCACCCACACACTTTTCTTCCACGAAGCCCTCACGGAAACTCTACGTTGCCCCCAGGAACCCTACAGCAGCAACGAAGAGATTTCCTTAGTAAACGGCATCAAAGTCGCATGTACAAAAAAAGTAGTCCGACATCGCATGTCAAGGAACAGAACATGCGCAAGTGAGTGAGCGAATGTATGTCCAGCGTTGTACGGGCACTTCACGAAAATGTTTTCGCTTCACTTCGGTGTAGGCATTCGGACCAATGATGACGTCTTGGAGGTCGCACATGCTCTGCAACTACATGACTGCTGTCTTCCGGCCTCTCGCTCCCTCTCTCGTTGTGAGCACGGAGCGAACATGGAAATTAGAAGGAATAGTAGAATGATGTGGCAGCAACGGAGAGCGACACTTCCATGACTACTATAATAGTCACAAATATCACATCAACCACCCCAACAAAGCAATATAAAATGCAACACCATGAAGTTAAAACTCTTACTTTGCGCAACCCTTGCCCCTTTGTTCACTGGGGAAACCAGAAGGAACGATTTGGACAGGGTTCAGTTTTACAGTCATCATCGGTGAGAACAAACCTCAGTTCTCACTTTTGCGGAGCCGACGCAAAACTTGGACTCAGACGAGAAATTCCGCGGGTTGAAAACGAACTTCGTTGAAGGCGCTCGAATGTAGTCAGGAGAAAAGAGGGATTTGGTGGGGGGCCAGCATTCTTCTCTATCGCCAAAGGCGCAAAACCGAATTATTATTGCGATACTGCTGCCCCTTCAGCGATAGATACGAGTACGGGATAACTCGCCTTCCGAAGTCCAGGCTCTTGTAAAACGAACTGCCATGGGTTGACCAGGGGGAGGAGGTCGTCCACTCGGACAAGATGGGGCTCGACGGGAATGATGAGGGTACCCGCCAGCTGCGCTAGCACCGCCCCCCCTCACTTGACCCCGACCAGCCGGCCGACCTCCGTCTCTTCGATGAATTTGGGGACAATTTGCAACCCGGAGGTTCCTTCTCGGACGGGAACGAACGGCGTTCAAGTACCGGACAGAAAGGAAATAAGCATATCTGCACCCCGGACATGGGGCATTGACAAGAATGAGGAACGAAAGGGACGAATCGACTGGCAAAATGAGAGTAGTACCTACACGGCAAGCAATCAGTGTTTGGCAACCCTTCGGGCAAAAACTACACGACTAACCAAAAAGGGTTCCGGGTACGACTAATGATAGAAGAAAAGTGCACGACAAAGGTATAGGTAAAACAACCAACGCGTAGTTGGCCAGGGATTTAGATTCCAAAGTAATCTCGGGGTTGTCTCGGAAGGCGCAGGAAAGACAAGTCGACCAGCAAATCTAGGGAGATGTGTGCCGTTGACAAGGGGAGCCCTCAGGATTCGCGTCCGACGCACGCGATGGAAGCCGTCGATCGGTTGGCGGCAGTCATATGCCGACAAAATCACACATCGGGTGAGACAGCTACAATGTAGGTGAGTAGAGGTGTCATCCGTCTTGCCCATTGCGAAGGGCTTCCCCCCGTCGATCCTGGAGGACCAGCTGTCTGCGAGAGCTCAGCTGTAGTCGAGGGAGTGAAATCGTTGTCAGAACAACCTTCATTCGCCATGAAAGCCGGGGAGCGGCGTTAAGGGCAGGCCGCGTGGTAGGTCTCGCAGCGTCGCGTCCACACAAACATTTTGCTGGGATCCGTTCGAGCGATCGTCGGTAGACTGATGATACCGGTCCCAGCCGTATCGTTTGTGCGTTGGAGGCATGTAGCCTGTGACCCACGGAGTTCGGGCCGTCTATTGGACCAGAATTAACGTTAGAGGGGTGCTGAGCAGAGATCGGAACGATTGTTACGACAACGACAACGGCAACAACACTCGATCGAGGGGTTTGAAGTGCGGTCACGACAAGGTCATCATGTCCTACGCCCGACATGAACGTGGCCAAACGGGAAATACATGGAGTTGGTGACTGCCTTGGTGCCAAGGGTGGCGGTTGACTTCTTCTGAAAACCTCGTGCCGGCATGAAAAAGTCAACACTTACCACGCCACGTTACCACGCCGCGTGTACAGCAGTGTCAACCCCGGGAGCTCCGAGGGGGGGGGCTGTGCTAGAGGGGACGGCTGTCCGCCACAAAAGGGAATCTCGGCTAGTGAAACATGGACAGCGATTGATTTTACGGTCAGGACATAGACTACACACGCATATTTCAAGTGGGGGTATCTGACAGGTTCCGCATGTACATTTTTACTTTCATACAACAAGAGGTTCGCCCGTTCCCCCGCTCTATTGTTGGAAAGGATTATACCTACCTGGTACACGTACCTTCTTGTGGTGATGATACCCACCATTTAGTTTCGGAGGAGGAGGCCAGCAACGACACCGTAATAACTTCCCTGGAAGAAGCGGACATCCTGAAGAGCTCTGGACTAAGTTTTTCTGGTTTTCCGAAACATCACCCTTGTTGCACGCCGAGGGAGCGTTTGTGCGACAAAACCAAAAGGATCGCCCTGCGGTGACTACAGAAGAAGAACTGGCTGTACTGGCTTGTTCCACCTCCGACATTATGTACCCGAAATTAGGTATGTCTAGACTGTCTAGTCTATCCCTTGGAGACAAAACTTCAGATTCTTGTCTTCTAGCTATGGGGGCTGCCAGAAATAGAGGGTTTAGTCTAAACTGCTTGCTGAGCTTGCGATGCAGCACACCGCATAACGTGCATGCAGCAGCACATCACTCACACACAACATCGGGACAAAATTATGTTAGACTGGCAAGCGTACCTCTCAATCCATGGAGAACCCTGTACCGGGCGAGTAGAATCTAGTGGGTGGGAGAGGCCTGAAAGTCTGTCTGAAAGTGACGTATCGAATGGGAGGACGGACAAAGCGTGTTTGCCATCAAGGCCCAAGGAATGCACGTTATCTTCGCGGTAGCAGCAGCGCCGCAGAGAGGTACAGCAGTAGTTACAGCAGTCTCGTGTAAAGCAATGGTTGCTCTTGCCCGAGATAAATCTTGATCTTCGTCCACAGGTAAGTACGTGCACGCTTGCACCCCCCTTGTCCATGCAGCAGGACGCAGAATAAAACGATGGGTACTGCTATACTGCTGCAGCAGTCCACTGGCAAGTACTTCTGCAGACCACTGGCAAGATTTCGTCAGAGCTCCTTAATTTTTGAGATCTTTCATGCGGATTTTATTGTGCCGCTCGCACCCACACAGCGTGTTGAGTCCAGTTGATAAGAATCGTGACCTGTCTCTGTCTGTGCGTTTGATCGTTTTTGATCATCTTGTGATGATATCGGTTGTGCGAGATGTGGGGAAAAGACGATATTGCAATGAATCCATGCCGTGCCGTGCGATGCTGTCGCCGTATTCGCTTTGGTCAATGCCTAAACTTGCTTAAAGCGAGAGTTATACCGCGGTGACCTGGGTTGGTTCTCAATGAAATAGGCCTGTCCTCCATCGGCCGTTTTGCTTGTATGACGGAGAATAAGAAGGTGGAATTACTTGAAATTAGTATAGAAATAAAGTTTGTGTATCTAAATCGAAAATAAAACGGCCGATGGAGGACAGGCCTAGCCGGTTCTCATGGATATTTGATTGCGCCGCCATCTGATGCAGAGCATACTGGTGTGAGTGTGGGCACCACATCTCAGTATATAAGGCTTGGGGCGGCGTATTTGTCTACGATGCTGAGCTGTCCGCTCGCTCGTATCCGGGGGGGTATGTGGGCACCACATGTCAGTATATAAGGCTTGGGGCACCTTATCTCGTGTCGGGCAAACACCCTTTTTACATGAGAATCATCATTTATTCAACTTCAACAACGGACATGTACAGCAGTGGAGTAGCTGATGTCCCTGGAGCGAATTACGAGTAAGTATGTGGGAAATGTATGCAGCGGTTCTCTGAGGAATGCCGGTGTCTCGACGTGCCAATGGCACAAGTCACAAGAAGGCGTGCATAGACCCGCGTTTTGTCCATCATGCGTATCCGTACGACCGACCAAATCAGATCCGACAGGTACAAGCATCATCCCGTTGATTATAAGAAGCCGGATGTGACACCTAGATCATTATTGATCAAAAATAATCTGGCGAAAATGACACATAGTCTAATAAGTAGCCTTACTACTGCAAAACTCCTGTATGCCACCCAGCGCGGGAGGCAGAAGACGCTCGCCAGTCGTTCGCTGCCCCGAACGCCAAATACTTTATGCACGGAGAGGTGAGTGTGTCCGTATAGTTTTCGAAACAGAGGTGAGTGCGGGGCGTGTCCGCGGCTAGCGTGGTGTCTTGGACTCGGCTGTCGGTGGGTCTGTGCCAAGCCAACCCGACCCCTGCACCGCGCGCCAGCGGAGCACCAAAAACCATTCTGCGGAGCCCCCTGAAAAAATAAAAAATGTGCCGCCTTGTGAGAAAGTCAGTCCACTCTTGGTCTCTCTGTCTCGAAGTGAGAAACATTCGTTCGGGGTCGTTTGTAAAGGTACTGGAGATAGACAACCCGGGAGCGCCGAATGCGGAGGGAGCACGCCTGCTTCGGGCAAAGCACAGGACAGGCGGGCAGCAGGGGAGAACACGGGAAGCGGGGGTCGTACCGACGCTACCGGCTCTGATCCTGACGCTCTCCCGGCGCGTAGGCTGGTGTGGTTCGACAGGTCGGGTCGCCTACTCGCTTGCCCCTCTCTCTCTCTTGTTGAATCCCGAAAATCCCGAAAGAGCGCGCGGGACTTTCGGAGAGAGAGAGCGGAGAGCGCCGCCGTGAGAAGGTTAAGCGAGGCATGGGTCCCTTTGGAGGGCCGCACGGGCGAGCGATGTTCCTGGAGACAACGCGACAAGGACCAGAACCATGCTCTCGACGCGAGGCTCTTAGACCAGGTTTAGCAGGGAAGTCGACAAGTCGATGGGAGAGCAGGAGGGGAGGAGGAGCACGGGCAACACGGGATCGAGGAGGGAGGGCAGCTGAGAGAAGCGCGAAAGGGTTGGGCGCCGCTGCGGGGAGTCGATTGCGAAGTGGGTGGAGGAGGGGGCGAGCGCTGGCTGGGACGGCGTTCGTGTCGGCTATGACCTTGAGTCAAGGTGAGAAACACGAGAGAGTGGCATGGGCGTGATGGAACGGGGGCCGATTCCGAAACGGATTAGGTCGCCCTGTTGTCACAGGGCCTCTTTCTTGACAGCTCTGTCAAGTTGGCTCCAACTCAGCAATTCACAATTTTTACTCCCTCCGGCTTCGCACGAGCCACGCCGCTAGCGCTGAGACCTCGGCTCCCGCACCAGAGTACAACCCCCAACCCCACGCACACAAGAAGAGGTAATCAGTTCAAGAGACAGACGCAGGAGAGTTGATCAGGGAAAAAAACATGCGACTAGCGAGGAAGAGAGGCAGGCAGGTGCACCACGCCCAAGAACCAAATGCGGCGTCCATGTTGTATGTTTGTATTCTTTCAAACGCTTGGGCGTGAGTTCTTTACAAGCGTGCTACCGCGGACAACTCCGGTGGCGTCGGCTGCTAGGCATGTATAGATCCACGTGCGTCGAAGCCTGTGCTCTCCAGCTTGCGTTCGGGTTCTCCGTCGAGCACACCAGCAGCAGTTGCACCTCGTTTTTTGTCCTTTTTTTTTTAGACCAAAAACAAGTTGCTTGCCGGAGTATGATGGCACAAGCAAAACCAGCCAAGCCCCTCGTCACACGCACGCGGGCTCACTTTGGTGGAGGGAGAGAGACACAGCACAGCTAGCAGAAAGAAGGTAGCAGGGATAGGAGGGTCAAGCGAACGGCATTCCCTCAAGGCGGAATACCGCCGATCGAGCCACTAGTCCGGCACGCTCTCCTCGTCCCTCAGATGTGTTCGGGCGTGCGGGGCGCGACGAGCGTCGTCCCCTGCTGCCTTCCCTCCCCTCTCCGAAATAATTTTATTCGAAAGATTTTTAAACGGCGAACAATGATGTTGCAGTATTCTGCACAGCATGGCGCGTGATGGTGGGAGCAGTAGCCGGCCGTGTGTTAGGTGTTTTTGTTTCCTGGGAGTAGGATGGACCCGGCGGTTATCTGGGAGGTAAGCAAGAAAGGCGCGGACTCACCGCTACAGAATATGCTCCTGGCATGTCGTGCTCAATGTTCTTTCGACGTGGATTCCGGGCGCCGCACAGCAGCAGCAAGCACAGCACCCTTTTTTCCATTGTGGTGCGCCTACCGTTGCAGCTTACGCGGTGTAAGACCTTATGCACCGCGTTTGAGAGGACGAACACCTGCTGCCCTTCTTGTTAGTGCATTCCCGTAGAGGTGCGGGCTTGTATCCTATCGATGCTTGGAACCCAGGCAGACAGACGACGATCGAGGAGCAGAGAACCAATCGCCTGTGCGTGCGTTATGCGCTGTTGCGCAACTTCGTAATCTGCTGAGCACAAGCGATGAGTACGTTAGGTTGGACCACTGGCGGACCACGTTCCCCACGGATCTTAGGTTACTGGTTCCAAATGTAAACCTTCGTAAGGGTGTGTCTGTTGTTGATGTTTTTACTCACCATTGGATACATGTGGGCACGACCCTCACGCAACACGCCGAACCGCGCAAGTATGGTGCGAGTTGTACACGATATTGTTTAGGTCATGTATCGTTCATAGGTACATGGCGTCTCGTGAAGGAAATAGTCTTAATACTTTTGTCAAGGTTGGATGGAGACCTGAAGACCGACCACCAAAAACCTAGGTAGTTGTTTTGTCGACATTACAGCCCCACGTCACACCTTGTGTACGCTTCGATGTTGGTGCATTGCTTCGTGGGGGAAGATGTCAGAGATAAGCATCTTTCCAGGAGTGCGCCTCTACACGTAAGAACCGGGGCATTCTCCCCTGTGATGTCTTCCAATAACCAAAGGAAGAAAGGGAGCAAGGAAAAAAGCGCAGAGTATCATTACTGTTCACCGCGGAAACATGAATGCTTTCGATCGTGAGCATGTATCAGGGTGTCAGTCCAATACAATATCGGTGTATATGCTGCTGCACTACCGTACGCAGGCAATTCCCCGCCCGTTGGCACACGCTGTGCCCTTGGATTGTCCCAGGGGATAAGACAAGTCATCTGCTGCTGTGATGTCGATACTGAGAGATGGCGATCCCCTCCTCTCAGCACTCGTGCAGCCGATGGTATCCGGAAAAATTCATTTCCTTGCCGCAACATGAACCGACCGAAGCTCTGCAATTGTTTGTCGCGGACAAGAGAGGCAGTCTTGAAATTTGTGCGAAACATGATTAAATTTACGAACAAGCGGAACGTTAGCAGACAAGAGAGACGGGAGGGGACCCCCCTCGCCGCCGAAGGAACAAAGGAACGGAAATGAATAGTGAATCATGGTGTATGATACTTATACAACAGGGGTACAAGCCGACGCACGACGACTTTTGTTTTTCGTGGCGGGAACAAGAAAATGATTCTGGATGTGCATGTGCAGTGTTCTGGGCGTAGACTACTCCGCTTGCAGCAGTAGCAGCAGTGTTGTACGAGTATGGGCTGAAGCCGAGGGCGACAGCAAGTAGGTAGCTGAGAGATGGCACCTCTTTCTTTTTTTTTCACCGCAGCACAGCGTGCGGAAAGTTGTGATGGAAGTCGCGATCGATCAACCTCTCTTTTGGTTCTGGTGCCGGTCCGTGTGTCTGGCCGTTTTTGTATACTAACCGAATGCTGTCCGTGATAAGAGTATACTTGCCTGATATGTAAAACCATCGGCTTATTCACTACTACAAGAATTAGGTGTGGTGGTTCAAAGGCCGCACGTAAGCGTCCTGACTAACCCATGTGCAGATGCAGGCTGCGGCGAGCCTGTAGTCTCTCCTCAGCGATAAACTCTACATGGACGAGTGGGATTCAAAGACGGTGCACAGGGGATCCATCGATGTCCAGCGTACTACCAGCACAACTTCATACACGCTGTTTTGGGGGAACATCTTCTCCATACGATCACCATGAAACAGAGTTCCCTCCGATAAGTTTTTTTTTTTGTCTCGCGTTGGTTTTGTATTTTCGATATTTCGTCGCATCTATTGCGGGCGCCAGCCTGGACACGTTTCGGCGTACAGAGTACTGTATGGTGTTTGACACCCAGCCGGGGTTGCACTGAAGTACTGCTGCAGTCACAAGCGTTTTGTGGTCTTTGTCATGCCCTCCATCTCCTGCGTACTGTATTTTACCCACTATTGGTCGAGTAGTCTCTTGCCTTCCTTCCTTCCCCCTTCTCGTCTCTACTCATGAGGACGCGCTCTCCACGGGGTTCGCGGGATTCTTCGTGCCCTGGAATTTTTGATGCGAAAACCATTTGTTCGAATATCCCCTTGGTATCTAATTTTTGTTCCCTTTATGTTTAGAAGAGTTTTTCCAGAGGTGGCTCCGGCATGCACAACCACAGCGGGGGGGGGGGGGGGGGGNGGGGGGGGGGAGATCTCGTCGAGCGAGTGTCGATTCGAGCCTTGACTCGTTGCCTGACAGTCATGCCTTCGTGTCACGCACATGCAGGTCCTTGAGCGTTCCCCTCGCTTCCTGTAACCGTCAAAGAGTCATTCCGCTGGAGTACTCGCATCCCTGAGGGATATGTGTTGCCCAAAACAAGAATAACATGAACAATGGAGTAAAACACGTACCACATCTTTTCCCGAATCACGTCCCAGCACCGCCCCAAGCAAGTATAGGTGAAGCAGCGAATCCTTGCTATATGCGTAACAAAGATTGTCGGCTTACCGGGGATCTCTCCCCCCCCCCCCCCCCC